CGGCCCGGCAAAAATAATTATCTGTCGATTGACCCTATCATTATATTTTTTGAGGGCCTACAGGGGCTGGCATTTAGTTACCCGTAAAACGCGTTTTTTCTAGGGAATTCCCTAGGGACATGTCGGGCAAAAATCCCTCCACCCGGGCCTTAAAACAATTACCATCGTTAAGTTAAACCTCGAAAAAAATGGTAAACCATCAGTGTTCTTCGCTATCCAGCCATATGCGGTTAAGAAATGTTTGAAATAATGCTGTGTGGCACTGTTATGCTTCAGATTTGCTTAATTCTGGGATATTGAAATATACATTACCTGTGCTACACTTGCCAGCTCACCTTGATTATGCTGACCAAGTGATGACATATAAGAAATTATGAACTTAAGAGAACGTTTGGGTATGAAAAAGGCAGATCTAAATTGGGTTCCGAGATGTGTTAGTTGTAATCATTATAATTATTCAGATGACATAACTAAAGTAGTAATAAACTCTCATATTTAAATACCCATAAACTATTGATCGGATTTATCCCTTCAACGTGGAATCCACAATAAATATAAGTGCTCTCCACCAGTATACAACAGAACAGTAAAAATTAAAAAATAGCACAAACAAAAATACCGATCTATATATCGGCCAGTAAAACAAGACTCGCGTTTATACTTGATACCACCCAAAAAAGTCCCGGCGGGCTGAAATTGCATTAAAATGTAGAGAAAATTCCCATGATCATCATATCAAAAATGTGCATCTACACGTTGAGCAGAAATATGCTTAATTAATTAAAAACTAATGAAAAAATGAGGGCGAATGCCAAAAAACTACACTGGATTGATTGTTCTAATCCTATCGGAAAAATAAAAATATCCAGAGCTTGGGCTGACCCAATTCTTCAAATTGCAAGTAGAAGCAATGTTCCCAAGTTCTTCGTTATTTTTTATTTAATTTCTTGACACGAATTGGAAGAAAAAGTCCCAAATAATCAGCTGATCACCCCTGATGCGCGCGTCGCTGGACGCACTGAACTGGACGCACTGGACAGGGCATTTCAAACTCCTGCGCATCCCCCGTATACCCATGAGCGGCGCGCTCGACGGGGGCCGGGCATACACAATCAGATGATTATTTCGGTCTTTTTGTGCTCAACGATGTTTAAAAATTAATTAAAAAATAATGGTAGACTTAGGAACATTACTTCGACTCGAAATTTGAAGCATTAGATCAGCCCAAACTCTGAATATTTTTATCTTTTCGATAGGATTAGAACAATTAATCCAGTATAGTTTTTTAACATTCACCCCAACTTTTTAATTAATTTTTAATTAATTAAGCACATTTCTTCTGAACGTGTGGGTGCACATTTTTAATATGATGATGAGGGGAATTTTCTCTTCATTCTGGTGTAATTTCAGCCTGCCAGGACTTTTTGAGTTGGTTAAGATCCAATTTGACTGGCGTAATAGGAATTTTAAAAGTATTTCTATCAATTTTTCCTTCAAAGTCAAATAAGAAATGATAGGCCTGCAAATTTCATAGTACTGTTCCGTAAGTTTTATGGAAGCACATACGATTAATGACGGAATGTAATACAATCTTTAAGATATTAATAGCAATTTTTATTTGTAAACCGAAGGAATTCTAGTATTCTAGCATTTTGCAATACGACTGTAGTCCTCGGCCCAATAATTTTTCTTGGGTTTTTCTCTCCGTGTATGAACTGCCATTGAAGGATGCATGGAGAAAAGAGCCATGGTAGAAAGAACTATATGAATATTCTCGTCTAGTAAAAATTATTATAATTTAGTAAGCATTACTATGTTATAGTAATGACTATAGTCACATTGCTATAGTCACATAGTATTAGTTACTATGGAGGAATGTAATTTCTACTACTTCAAATGATAAACATTGAAATCAAGCCGAAAAATTAAAGAAAATATCTACCATTCACTTTTCTCCATATGATCACATGTGATGAACGCTTTAGAAAACATGCAGTCAATGTTCTAATCTTTTCCCTGCGAAATCTTTGAACTATTGGGAAATAGTGTGCAAAATTTAAGGTTGATTACGAGAACTATTTATTTGTAACTATGGTAGCAGCGGTATTTTGTAAACAGTAGTTACACGATCTTCCATAATTATCCAATTGAAAAACTTTATCAGAGCTAATGCATAACAGCTGATGATGGGTATGCACTCAATTATAATATCCGCATCACCCCATGATTCGACGCATTTGATAATCTGGGCGAAAGGTAAAAATGAATCTGCGAGTATAGCTGAAAGAGATCTCACTCTAGATAAGACTCAAATGGAATGCATACCTTCGGTATCAATAAACTGATAGTAATGATAAACGTTAAGCACCTCAAATATCTCTTCTCTCTCTTAGGTTGAAACGGCCAGTGACCAATACATTGCAGCCCTCGTTTCGTAAGTCGATAATATGCAGAATCGAGGATGTTCTCCATCAATACTTTCCGATACGACACCCACCGTCACAAAACATTAAATGTGTTTTAACTGAATGAAAAAGATCCTACTCATTGTATATTCCGTCTGATGATTTCCCAAACGTCATTCCGAATTCAGCGTTTGGATGTAAAGACTTTGTTACTGGCCAACGACAATTAAGTGCTTGAATTTTTTATCGCTAGGATGATACTGGCTTACACTATATTCCGAAGAAATTGAAAATACTTGGCACGCAAATGGTAAGAAATCCTTTGAACGAACTGCAGGGAAGCCAAGCGGTTTAGAAATGCACCGAATTCAGCTGTAAGAGGTATTAAACAACAGGTTAATAATAAAAAGGAATGGACACATTGTTATTCACTATTCGTATGGCACAGGAAAACGAGTCGAAAAATTCGCATTCTCAGTAGTTTGATATCAACCATTGAAGCAGTTGAGTGAGGGTAAATCCTAATTAAACTCAGAATCAATGAATTAGAAAGGATACTTCTCTGTTGAAGAACGATCGATTGGTTCCATTCAAAGTATCATCAGATTCTACAGTATTAGCTAAGTAACGAAAATTCGCTCTATGCATACCCTAACCTTGACGTCAATTGCGTTTATTGTTCTTTCTCTTTGCTGGATAGTACGTCGATTAATTATGCGCAGATGTTCGTTTCCAGTGTTCTTTGTTCACGCTGTCAAATACTTTAACTTTGAAGAAATAGGGGAGGCCCGAGCAAAACGGAATGCAGGAGCAACATGGGAAGCAGGAGGAACCAGAATGCGGGTAAAATTGGATAAATTAGGCGGTTCACTGAGAGATGAAGGGAACAAATCGATGGTACAAATTCATGATTCTACATTTCCGTTGTTCCAGAATTACATCACACTTAACTGATCAACAAATGCTAAATTCCTATATAAGGAATTACACAATTAGAAGCTTAACATAAACAATAGTATAATTAAAAGAAAAAATTGAATTTGCAAAAAAAACTGGCAAACTTTTAGACTGTCTCGAACATTTTTGGCCGTGCAAAAAATGACTACAAATGTGTTAAAAACGCTTTTCCGCAAGTATAACTTTTGTCATCAATTCATACCTTTTACAGTATCACACATTATTAATAGTGAAACGTTAATCATTTCATGATGAATGTTTAATGAGAAAGTTACATTCTCGTGTGGTATCTTTTTATCTTAATCAACCATCACGGGATTTTCCTAATCATTCATAATGGAAAAAATAGGATAAAATGAATGATAAAAACGGTGTCAATCACAGGGAGATTTCTGATTTAACGATAAGAGATATACGTGTGCTTTGCCCATTTATTTATTAATCTTCCTACAAAGATAATCTAGTTGAGATTTCCAGTGTAGCAACCTGTTGTACAGTGATTCGATTTCTCATGATGATAAACTCGCCCTGCCGCGATGTTTTCTATTTATGATATAGATCCATGTTATATATTTTGTTTGCGAAAATGAATTCGCACAATTAATACTATGATGAAATTTCGAATCAATGACAATGACAAAAAGCATCTATTTGTGAATTTTTACAAACCCTTGAAATTAGATCGGCTACAGTTGTTCGTTTTATAAATCAATATACTTGGAACATGCTGGAATATTCGAATACAGCATAACATACACATTGTAATACGAAAACGACTTGACGAAAATTTATAATATACTGGGGAAAATAATCTCTAGAAGAACGAGGAGTTTACAATTGGTTCTTTTCCACATCCGAGAACTAATTTATGCTAAACATATGTTGAAATTTGAGTAAGGACTATGTCCTCTTATGTCGTGAACCTTAACGTTCACCCATCATGTTCAGGCGGCTCCCAGCTTCGTTAGTGAGAGCTTGGTGAGCCCAATGAGCTCAGGTGGTCGAGCCCTGCTCGAGTACAAGTACGGGCAACCTCTAGGTCAGACATGGGCAAAGTGCGCTCGATGGCCTCATCTAGCTCCCAGCCCCCATTAGGCCAATGGCTATAAAAGAATGGGTCCTATTGTATTCTACAGGTAGTCGGAGGGGCGAGACCATGATACTTCGGGTCAGAGTGGGGGTATCATTGCGTCAGTCAACGCGCAAAAATTTGAATTTTTGAACGAAAAATATGAATACATTCATTGCTGTATTTTGCATTGTTAAAAAATATCAATTAATCATTTTTTTCTATATCAACTTCCGCATAAAATTCCGCTAGATTAATCACTTGGAATTGAATATTTCGACAACAAATGAATTGAAAAACACTGATGAAACATTTGAAAAATAAATGGTATTTTAAAAATTGAATAAATTTTTTACCCTGAAAACGCACAACGAAACAAGAAATTTTAATTCCATCCTTTCACTGTTAACTGCTGTTAACCATTTGACAATCGATCCATTTTCGGTTAATCACGAAAATGAATAGTTACTGCAGAAAACAATAAAAATAATTAGCTGCAGAGACTGATCGAACAAAGGTAATTGAATAACGTTGACAGGATAACAAAAGTGTGATCTGCCCAAGAGTTGGCAACACTTTTAAAATAAACCTTATATTCATAATTTATTGGTGGAATTTTAAAGAACTGACATTTCATATTTTTTTCAGTTTTTAATAAAATAATTATTCACTATTAAGGTAACCAAGAAATAATCAACTTCTAGCACCATGATATTTGAGCAATTACCCTCTATACCCTCTATACGACTAAAGATTTTTCACGTTGAATTGGTGAAAATTTTTTCGAATTTTTTAATTTGAAAAGACAGCCCGTGGCGCTTTCTCCGGTTAACTGCCCGCGATGTCCTGTACGCTACTACTTCCACTCTGACTACGCTGGGCTTCACGCAAATGGGTATTGCTTTTCTAGCAATGGGTCTAATAGGGTTTTATGGGCGCGGCTTCCGAAGGTTTGAGTTTGCCCATACCTACTCTTGGTAGCTCGGAGCAGAACCATAAACTGGAATTCGGAATGCAATAAAATTTATACAAACTTCAATTATAAGGATCCTAAAATGCTCGATTCGCCAGAATTGGCGTGAAATTTTAGTTTTCAATTTTTACTATGAAAGGCCGAGCATGGAGTCGCCACATACTTGATCGCACAGTCGCCCTCTGCCGATGTCGGTTGAATCAGGGCTCAGGAATATAAAAAAATCGAATTAGAGCAAGTAGTTTCTTTAAGGGGATGAGGCCCTTCTCCCAGCTCTCACTAACGAACCTCGGGAGCCCTGCCATAAAGCGTCTGTCAAATGGAAAAGTGAGAAAAATACACACCGCGATCAATGAAAAATGAATTAAAGAACGGAAACTTAACGACGAATTTCTGTACAGAGCAGTCTGAGAATTATTTTTGTCAAATTCCAGATATCGATATATTGTTCTCATTCTAGTTACACAAAAATTTTCTGTACAGTTTGGAGTGATGAAATCGCGCTATGACAAGTTCAATAGCCTGAAAAATCGAGCAAGATGAAATATGATATTATATTTGTATATATAGACATGATGTAAATACATCGCATAATCTTTAATTCAACTAGTTTGGCAGGATTAAAGGTTTCATTAAAATTTTTTTTTTAACTGCTTAGAATCTTCATATAATAACTTGAAATACCACTAAGCTATCGATCTGAATGTAAAATGACTATAATCCAGTAAAAAGATAAATAAAATTGTTGCGGAAATTCTGCTTTTTGAATTAGCCGTTGAAAGTATTTGTGAAATAACGACTGTTGCGAAAAGTGTATCGGAAGGAAAATGACCAGTCTTGGCATTTTTAACTGCTTCATGTTATTTCCTTATATCACAACAGAGTATTTTTTAAAAAGATGTCTTCAGGTAATTTCCTCAAATCCATATTTTTACTGACAACCGATTTCATACCATGAATGAATAGCTGGGGTAATGCAAAAGCATGACATTCTTTTTATAATTTGTTCCTGGCATGGGAATTGAACACGTTTTTTCCACATTTTATTTGTAATGTAAATTTTAAAAAAACAACGGCATGGCACGAAATATTTACAATTTTCCAGTTAGACTTATTTGTCTGCTTTTCCTTTTTGTTAGCGGTACCACCACTTTGGTGGTAGGTTTGGCTCGGTTTTGTTCTTAAAGCAGGGGCCACCCAGTCCAGCCTTAACTGTATATTTCGTAACCTGTGCGGAAAAGAGATTTTTGACGACTGGAAGGTTAAGGCACAATCCCATATGCCAAAAATCACTTTCTACATGAGTTGTGAACAATATTTTTCCTCACAATGTGCGGGAAAGTGACTGTTTAGGCACGCGGATTGTGTTCGAAAAGTTCCTTTGGGGCAAATCGTGACGAAAGAAATATTACACTGCTTCTCAAAATTGATTGAGTCACTTGCACCCATATTCCAATAGAATCTGAAAGAAATAAATATCCAATACATTTACCAGCTCTGGTATTGTTTCTTTCTTATCACATACCCCATTTAGATTATGTCAGCCGTGTGATTGCTTCATTAATTATCGCGTTACGTGAGGAGAACCATTCTAGATTTCGAGACAATATATATTCGTGCTAACACGTGGATAAGATTCAGTCAGAGCAATGAAGCCCTTCCTGATACTTCATGCGATACTTCCGGGGCTCTTGGGGTTCAGCTATGATGAGCACATTCCCCAGCTCAAAGGGTATGTTAGATCATGCATTTTCAAACTCATAATTTCTTAATTTAAATCAGTTTAAATAAGTATGTAACTCAAGAAAATATCAGAAGTATAATTTGAGGAATGTTTTCATAGGATAAACGTCAGGACTAGTAAGGACTATACTAATCATTTTGTGCTTTCGAATGGTAGCCTTGTATTCGTTCGAATTAAAATTTATAATTTTTTTTTTCACTTACTAACAGGGTGATGTGTGTACAGATGGATGGATGCATTCTAACGTTTGTTTTTTTTATAGAATTTTCAGAATTTTTATGAATTGAAAACTAATTTATCATACACTAGATATTAATATATATTTTGCTAATAGATTCTGCTACAATTTCTCGAAAATATCAACAGCCTTTTCATTGTATCAGTTTCTCAGAATGATCACATCATTCCTTGGCCGATTGGAGAAAAACGCCAACTTGAAAATTCACTAAAAGTTGCAGTAGGGCAACAAAACTTGCGAATAAAGTTGTGAACATGATGAAAATAAGTTCATACCAATATTCCCTTGATTGAGTAGGGAAGATAAAATAGTATTATGATGTATTACATGACAATGCGGTTTGGCGATTTTTAATGAAAAAAAATGGCCGAAAACTGTCATATGCAGCTATAATCATGTATATTTACTTACAGACTCCATAAAATTTGAAAGTAATCCTGGCTTACCCCAACAAAATGAAGTTTTTTTTTCACGGGATTAAGAAACTCATCGGTCGAAAATTGACAGGCAACAAATCTGACAATGAGAGGAAAAAAAATTCCATGGAGAGATTCTGTCGTTGTCCTAAAGGATAATTTGCTGCGGCAAGAATAGTATTTTTCACGCCTATGACGGAAAAAGGGAATCTGACGAATGCGACTTTGTAGTCCGAGTCGGAGACGAGGATTATAACGCGCATAAGCCAGAATCACTTTTTTCGCCGTGGCTATGATGCTATTTTATTTTATTTCATTGCGGCCGGTAAAACGCGTTTCGAAACTCGCTTCGCGCGGATAAAAACGCGTTTTCGGCCACAATGACATAAAACAATTTATTTAATCCGTCTCAAACTTCACAGTGAAGATATTTAAGTACAGAAATTCTCCAACTTGAGTCCACAATTTTCTTTCTTATTATTGAGAAATTATTATAGTTCTTTATTTTTCGAACAAGAGCACAATTCCTTGACCAAATGTTTCTCGAAATGCAATGTGACTGTAGCCGCGGAGTAAATCTCGAAAAAAAAACAAATTCAAATATATAATAATTATGGAATTTACTGAGGAATACGATAATACTGAGAATAATAAAAATTAATATGTATTCAAATGTGAATGGTGAAACTAGTAACGATGATAACTATATCGGAAAAAAATATATGTCGATGAACAAAAGAAAAATTTTTTCGTTGAGAAACATGTGGCCCTGTTTTCATCGATTTCATAGTTATGAACGTTCATTATCATAATATCACAATCGAATCGTTCGTTTGGAGTACCAATGTCTATTTAAATTACAGAATGCAACAGCTCACAATTTTTCCGGCGACCCCGGCACAACAATCTGTACTTAAATCCTTCGAGGATAATCCGAATATCGATTTTCTAAGAATGAGTCGGCCTTCATTAAATCCAGTTGATGTTCTGGTGACGGCTGATGAAGAATTAAATTTCAAAAAAATGTTAAATTTCAACAAAATTCAATATAACGTGACTATCGAAGACGTTGAGAAAGCCGTAGCTGAAGAAAGATTCACCAACACGATGCGTCGAATGCAATCAAGACTCTTGTCTTTTGGTCCCAGAAGAATCAGAGCATTTAATTATTATCCACGATTTGCCGAGGTAAGTACTTACGTTTACTTCATTATTTTTTGCATAAAAATTCGGGCTGATTAGATTGTTATAAGTTTCCGATTGACTATAAAGCACTAGCTGTGTAATTGAATTCAAAGTAATTTTATAAATGCTTGGGTCTCCATACGGAACGAAGTTAGAGAGATTCTTCGATGATCATAAAAAATGTACTTAATAAGAAAGTGAAAAATGGAAAATGTGGTGAATAATTAAGTGGGAAATAAAAGACGAAAGAAAGCGAGAAAGCAGTTTGAATGTTGTTTTTATATCACAAAAGATGGAGAAGAAACCAAAAACGTACAAGTTTTTAATACGAAACGAATATTCAATATACCGTCATTGTCCCAGGTGGTGCACGAGTCCCGATTCGTAGAGGCAACGTGCTCTCGCGAGACCATTTTCAATGAAAGAAATTCACGTTAATATCAGCGTACCAAGTGGAGTTTTTTCCGAAAATCGAATTGGCGATTGGCGAAGCTAGTTACCGTTGGTGGCGCTATTTTTGTCAAGATCGTTAATTTAAGAGTGTTCGTATATAAATAAAACTCAGCTCATACATGGGCATATGACAACATGTATCAGCTATATGTATTCTCAAGCCGGAAATTTGTAGAGGGCTTTTTCTTCTTTAGCGTTTCCAACGACGATATTTCCATTTATTTACATTACTGGACTCAGTCACTTGAGATGTTGAGTCCCTCTAATCAATATGATTTGTGAACGACATACGTCTTTTTTATTACACCTATTTTTTTGTGAATAAAACAGAGAATATTTTTCGGAAAAATATGATGATACAGTAAAACCTCCACTTGGCAAAATTTTTTCACAAACGTATTTTTGTATTTTTTTCATGGGACTTCACTTTTTTTTTGCACGCATATCAATTGTTTTCACAGTAATATAATGAACAAGGTGAATTATCTATCAATTATCAATCGATAGATTTTTTTCCCTCAATTTTACTTTCCATAATTTGCATGGGAATACGTTATAGTGCAACGAACGACAATAGCCCTCAAATGGTTGAATTTGATAATCAAAATTTTGAGGGGTCCTATAACTGCTCAGATTGGTTTCCCTCAAAATGACTGACCCAACGTAAAGGACCTGAGTCAGATTTTAGATACATACGGGAGTTTCATAGTCACAAATTAGAGATGATCTTTCAGATTGTTCTCATATTTCCACATCTCAATTTTTTCTCTCCAACAACAATATATACAGGGTGTCCCAGAAGTACATGCCGATAATTAACCGGCATGTACAGGGGGTGAGTCTGACCCAAAAAGTCCTTTACCACTTTTGAATCGGAAGCACCCCTCCGGAGATACTGGGGTAAACAGGACAGCCAATGACGCTGCCGCGTTAAGCGGCAGTACGTCGGTGTGGCTGTCGCGCTCGAGTGTGAGTGATTCCCCTTTGAGCCAGAAGGAGGCAGGATCACGTTCCACATTCACCCGTGAGCGTGAGAGAGAAGTCATGGTATTCTCTCTCAATCTCTCGCATCACTCCGCGGCAATGTTCTTGTAGTTATCTTTTAAACAATTGAGTTTTTGGAATTTTTCCATTGATTATTGTTTGTTGCAAATTGAATTTGCAACAAAATAATTTCATGGAAAAATCACCTAAGCCCAATTGTTTATTTTATATCAGCAACAAGCAGTTTCATCCTTTTTAAATGTTATAAAAAAAACGATGGGCCGTACGGCATTTATCCATCAGATGTTTTTTGTTGCAAATTCGATTTGCAACAAAAAATAATCAATGGAAAGATCCCCGAAAGCCCATTGTTTATTAGATAATTGATCAAGAGGGTGTTTTTAACAAAAAATCAAAAAATCACCGCGATCGCTCCGTCGATTTTAGAGATAATTGTTTAATTATTAATTATCTCATCAACCATGAGATTTAGCAAAATTTATCGGAGAATCTTTTTTTTTGTTAATGAGATTTAACAAAAAAAAGTTCTCCTTACAAAATTTTGTCAAAGTCTCGGTTGATGAGATAATTAATAATTAAACAATTATCTCTGAAATCGACGGAGCGATCGCGGTGATTCTTCGATTTTTCGTTAAAAACACCCTCTTGATCAATTATCTAATAAACAATGGGCTTTCGAAGATTTTTCCATAAATTATTTTTTGTTGCAAATCGAATTTGCAACAAAAAACATCTGATGAACAAATGCCGAACGGCCCATCGTTTTTTTTATAACATTTAAAAATGATGAAAGTGTTCGTTGCTGATATAAAATAAACAATTGGGCTTAGGTGATTTTTCCATGAGATTATTTTGTTGCAAATTCAATTTGCAACAAATCATAATCAATGGAAAAATCCCAAAAACCCAATTGTTTAAAAGATAACTGCAAGAACATTGCCGCGGAGTGATGCGGGAGAGTGAGAGAGAATACCATGACTTCTCTCTCACGCTCACGGGTGAATGTGGAACGTGATCCCGCCTCCTTCTGGCTCGAAGGGGAATCACTCACACTCGAGCGCGACAGCCACACCGACGTACTGCCGCTTAACGCGGCAGCGTCATTGGCTGTCCTGTTTACCCCAGTATCTCCGGAGGGGTTCTTCCGATCCAAAAGTAGTAAAGGACTTTTTGGGTCAGACTCACCCCCTGTACATGCCGGTTAATTATCGGCACGTACTTCTGGGACACCCTGTATACAACTTTTGCATTCCGTGGCCATCGAATTTTTGAAATAACTGCATCGTCTATGTGAGCCCAACTATTTTGATTCTCTTTCAATAAGCAGGTATAGTTATCACACTTCATAGTGCAATACAGCATAGCACTATTGTCAGAATGCCGAATGCTAAGAAAAGAAATAGAAGTTGTTGCCACCGCCTTCAATTTCCAATTCTGGATTTTCTGCTCGATATTTTGTGTGTTAACATTGAATATATTCAACTGCATAATAAGTATATCAGAAGTTGAATTTATTTTCGTCCTTTGAGTGAACTTAACATACTCGTCAGAATGAATAGAAAATTGAATAGCGTGTTTCCACTCATGGAAAGCTTGTTCAATTAAATTGTTCAAATCAATTGTATTTTTCAAATCATCAATAGCTGTGGCGCTTGAACTAATTCGTTACGGTATTAGAGTATGACAGAGCTCCAAGAAGTTGATCACCGAATTAAATGAATTAATCATTTCGATCATGTGAATCGTTTGCAGGAGGCTTACCGATCCATCACAGCTAAAAATTAGTGTTTGATCGATAATAATTGATTTTTAATGATTTTTCTAATGTAATGAAAATGTTTACCGGAAGTTCGACCCCGACTTTTTCTAAATAAATAAATAACTAATTTGGACCTCGTGACTCGCTTGCATGTGGTTTGCAATTCAATTATATAGATCAGAATTACCGTTTGATCCATAATAATTGATTTTTCAGGATTTTTTTTAAATCATTAAAATTTCTATCAGAAGTTAACCCCCAACTTGAAAAATCATTAAAAATTACTTATTATCGATTAACTGTTAATTTTGAGCTGATCTTCCGATAAAAGTTTTAGTTCTTTTTAAAAAATCTTTGAAAATCAATTATTATTGAACAAACGGTAATTTATATCAATAATTGACCTGCAAACCACCTGCAAACGATTCACAAGGTCCAAATAATTAGTTTATTTAATTCGACGGTCAATTTCTCGGAGCTGGCAGGCCGCGGATGAAAGCGTCGGTAACAGCGCAGAGCGTGACCCCATTTAGCAGATAATTAAAAACATTTTTTCTTCATTCAGCCTATTTGACGGTCCATTGTAAGTTATTGTTAGTCGATTTATTACAAATGAAGCTAAATATTAATATCCTTTTTATTAACTGAACACATTGGTAGGAAGCAGTTGGTCCTTCCTTCTTGTTTTTTTCATTGTAGGGCGAAATATCCATTCAATTATCAATCTCAAAAAAAAACAAATTCAAATATATAATAATTATGGAATTTATTAAGGAATACGATAATACTGAGAATAATAAAAATTAATATGTATTCGAATGTGAATGGTGAAACTAGTAACGATGATAACTATATCGGAAAAAAATATATGCCATTGTAGGTTATTGTTAGTCCATTTATTACAATTGAAGCTAAATATTAATATTCTTTTTATTAACTGAACACATAGTTAGGAAGCAGGTGGTCCCTCCTTCTTGTTTTTTTTCATTGTCGGGCGAAATATCCTTTCAATTATCTTTATAGATAAATAAACTTACAATGAACTACAATGAACTTTCAACCGAGCTGAATCAAAACAGTATCTAACTGGCAATCTTGTGGTGGTAACTACTTGAGACTACGCTGTGCGCTGTTACCGACGCTCTATACGCACCCTGCCATACTCCAAGCCCGTACTAGTTCAGACGCCATCGCTACGAAGCTTTCATGCGGAAGCCTGTTCATACGCATGAGTATCTCTCCTGTCGTTTCTGGACAAGAGCAGGAAAAGAGAGAGAAACACACTTTATATTCGTTGCCAACTTTGACGAACGAATTTATCGCTGAGAGAAAATAAAATTGTGGAAATATGAGATTATGATGGTTGCTATGGGCGGATATTTTTGTGTACTGAATCAATCGAGAAAGTAAAAATATCTTCATAAAGCTCACAGTCAACTTATATACTGTAACTAAGGCCCGAATTCCCGAAAAATCGTCGTATTACGGGACAAAAAATCAAACACATTTTTGGAGTAGTCGTGTCGTGTATATTATACGCGACGGCATCGGCATGTGACGTCCCACCGATAAAACCTCTACTTGGCGGATACGCAGTCGCGTATCTTTATTTTATAATAAGGATCATGGAGAATTAGGGCTTTAGCGTCGAAAATACATCATAATATAATTGAATTAAACAGTTATGCAAAGTTTTCCATCATTTCCAATCTTAAAAAGGTAGACGGCAAAAACAATACTGAAAAGAGTATTACAATAACAATACGTAAAAGTCCCATTCGATTCAAATTCTAGCGGAATGGGCTACAATTTTGTCCAATTTTCTTCTAATTCAACACAGAATAACAGAAGAGAAAGGTTGTAAAATTCAGAACCACAAAATTCAGAAAAAAAGATTGAGAAAAAAAGAGAATTATAAATATCAATTTTTCACTCGAAATTGGCAGCTATATTAGGCAAAAAAATTTTTTAATGCTTTCATGCTGAGAAGTCACCCTTGACCATTATTTTGTGTTTAGACGATATTTGTCAGAATTCAATAAATAAAATACAATATTTGCCGACAATTCTAATCGAGCAATAACTTTGCCCACTCATGTGAAGCAAATGATTCGTCGATAAATAGTAATTATTGAGAAGGGCTGATTGATTGTCATTAACAACATTGAATTACTCACTTTGTATTTTTTGCAGCTACCAGAGTAACTGAAATATACGTCTACATTTTTCAAATAAAAATACAAAATCCGACACTTTTAGTTTTTGATAGACTGAAATGAAATGTAGTATTCGAAACCATTTTGGAGGGATAAACCATATTCGGGAATTTTCAAAAGAAAACTTATTTTCTCATGTTATGAATAAAAAAATTAATTTTTGACTTGAACGTTGCAAAATTAACAAGTTCCAATTTGTAATATGCAAATCTGCAATGGAATATCCATGAATATATTGCTAAGTCGACAGTGGCCACTTTTCATTGCTCAAATTTAGCGTTCCAATATTTGAAAAGAAAATAATAATTGCCGTCTATCATTTTATAAATATATGAAATGTTACGTTTTCAGTGTAATTAAAAAAATTAAAAACTGAAATTTAGCGCTAATTCTGGCGAGTCGGTCACTTTTATTTGACTGGCACGCCACTCTACGTGGCTGACGGGAATATCATCACCAGTGGGACTTATTCGCACACAATGGTTGGCTAATTGAGTACCTATTAAAATTAGAGGATTATCCCGAACCTTGTAGTAAGCTGGCTCCCGACTACCTCCAGGTTGCCGGGCCCTGCTTTAAATCAGGATCCACTCTGCCGGTATCGGTCGAAGCAGGGCTCAAGGAAGGAGAAAAATCGGATTAGAGCAGGTAGTTTCTTTAAGTGGTTGAGGTTCCTCCCCCAGCCCTCACTAAGGAACCTCGGGAGCTACTTGAGCCTGATGGGCCCAGGTTGCCCAGCCCTGCCTTAGAATTTAGTCCTTTCCAGTCAGATTCTATCAAAAGATAACCTATCTGTCTTTCTTTTTTTCTCCTGACCCCCCCCCCCCCCCCACGGCCCAGCGGACTACAGGGATTGCCCTTTGACCACGACTGCAGAGGCTTTTAAATCTCAACAGTAGCATCCACTTGATGTTATCACGATTCGATAAGCCTTACCAATGGAACAGGTGAATTATTAGGACTATATTGTCAACTTTACCAACCTTTTCCAAATTTCTTGATTTATAGTTCACGACTTAGGTTTTACCTTTGAATTTATGAATTCTAAGTCACCTCATCTTCGGTGCTGGGTGCTTGTGTAGATGCACGACTTCTATAATTCCTCCTCTGTTTTAAGTTCCCATTCCTACAAATCGTTCACTTCTGGTAGTTAGTTTAAAATCACTTTGAAATGTACGTTATTTTCATAAAAAATCATAATTAAATTTGATGTAAGCGTACATAGCCGATGATTTAAACAGACTATGTGAACTAGATTGCGTGTTTCATCAATCAAGATTTAAGAAGTAACAATTAGCCAGTACTCGCTTGCGTCCACAAACCCGTTTGAATTAACAAAATGCTACAACCGCATCACAAATTACACTGTATTGCTAACACAAGGTATTACTGAACCGAATAATTCAATTCAATAATAGTTCAATAGTGGATATCAAGAAGCTATTCTTTATATGTTGCTAAGACAAACCATTCTCTACTTATTGCAGCATCATGCGGCATTAGAATTTACGTAACATTTTTATTATTCACAGATTGAAGAGTACTTGACCATTCTTACTCAACTGTATAACAAAACCACTAAGCTCATCAAAATTGGGCAGAGTCATGAAGGCAGGTCAATCTATGTAGTGAAGATTTCTAACGGTGGTCAAAACAAGCCTGCTATCTTGATTGATGCTGGAATCCATGCACGAGAGTGGATTGCACCATCAACTGCACTCTATGCTCTTCATCAATTGGTCACGAATCAAAGTACCAGCGATCTGTATGCAAATGTTGATTGGTACATCCTTCCAAGTCTCAATCCTGATGGTTACGAATATACCCACGAGAGTGTAAGTACTTTATGAATTCAACAACTTTTTGAATTATGAACGGGCGAAAAAATTTAATATCACAAGTTTAAATTTCAATAATAATCATCTTTTCATAGTACCGATTTTGGAGAAAAACTCGCTCATCAAATGCTAATAGTCGATGTGTGGGTACCGATGCTAACAGGAACTTCGACTTCAAGTGGATGAGTGAGTTTTTATTTTTTCATTTCGATGAAGTGTTGTACCCTGTGTGGGGGATAAATCTCACCAATAGTTCACAGATATTTAAATATAAAAGTTTATTATTTTAATTATGTCATCTAACTGATTACATAGTTTACGACTAGTACATGTTGGAGCCCGATTTGGATTTGCCTTCCGTATATATACGCAAACGGCCTCTGATATACATCTTTGATTCTGTGTCATTACTTTGTCAGCATAATCTAGATATGCTGGCAAAGTAATGACACACAATCAATGATGTATATAATGTATATAATGATGTATATAATGAAATACATATGGTTGCCAATTCTGAAGCTATCCGTGTACTAGACCAGCCCTTTCTGTGGCGTCCACTTTTTGTCACTCCTTGGCTGGGTTACCCCCTCTCCAAGGTTGACCTTGAAATTCATTTGGAAGTGCCAGCGCGGCCCGCAGGCATCTTCTCCCCATGACAGCAGTCCCCAAAGGTGACTGTGACCGTGTCCGCCGTAAGAATCGCCGCATGACCACTACTGGCCCCTTTCCATAGGCCTTACAAATGTAATCTCGCGGCCGAGGTTAGCGCCACTTCCGTAATGTGAAGGTGGGGCGGCTGGAGAAAGAGCAGAGCCTCCAGCGCTGAGGCAGGGGTCGTTCTAAGCGCCCCCGTGATTCCCAACATCGGCAGTCTGCCCGTTCTGTCTACCGTTTTACTGTGGCAGGCCTTGTTCATGGTCGTCCACCAGACAACGGCAGCGTACGTGAGCTGTGAGAGTATTATGGCTGTGTTAGATCCATTTCACAACTTTGGGGCCTTAGCTCCCACGGGCTACTGAACATCCTCATGAATGCCCAGTAAGTCATGATGACTTTGTTGGTCGGCATGGTGATGTGTTTCTTCCAGCTGAGCCTTCTGTCGAGCCATATACCTAGGTATTTTACCCCATCCGAAAACCCCAGAACTGTGCCATAAATGGAGGAGAGTCTTACAACGCACCTCCTCATGTTAGAAAAAAGCACCATCTCTGTCTTGCTCGGGTTTACCCTGAGTCCATGAGAGGTGCCCCACTGCTGAACATAGTCCTGCGCTTTCTGCATTTTCCGGTGTAGCATGCCCTCATTCCTGCTAGTCACGAGCACACCGTCTGCATATCCGATTGCATCCACCCCCAATCTCTCGAGTCCAGTGAGGAGCCCATCCACAACGAGGATCCACAGCAAAGGCGAGATAACTTCCCCCTATGGGCAGCCCCTCCCCACTAGCGCCCTAACCATACTGTCCCCGAGGGAGCAGTAGACTAATCTAGTTCGGAGCGTAGCAGCATACGTCCATAGGATAAACTTCAATTTATTCTTATCAAAAAAAATTCAATAACTCCAAATTTTACCTGGGCGCCAATCAGGAAAATGTTTTATGAGAGACACTGACTTCCTTCAGCTTCACTCAAACTCTACAAACTCAAAAACTTAAAATGCCTGGCAGCGAACTTACAAGAGTAGACTCGACATGTTACAAGGGGGAGGAGAAACGATATCCCCTCTGCGGGCTTCTCCTCTATCTCAACATGAAAAGACACAGGTTTTCAAGCCAAAATGGAAAATAGTATAACTCTCAGAAAATACAAAATTGAACCAAAATACTACAAAATATTACCTTCAGAGTTTACGCTCCCGTCGCGACAAAACGTCATTAGCACGACAAAAGAAACTTAAATTGACCAATTTCCCCGATAATCAAGACTACAATTTATTGGATACGTGATTACTACCAACATATCCACAACGACAAAATAATAACGATACTAATATGAAGCTTAAACCTAAACTCGACTCTAAACCCTAGAGGGAATTGTCAGCTTCCCTCAACTTAAACGGACGCCCTTACGCGGCCAGCAATGGGCTTCTTAAAAAAACTCTATATTTCCTAATGTATCTATTATTCGGCTCTGCGCACCTGTTCTGTCGCTGCACGACGTCTTCCTCCAGGTAGGACAGCAACCGTGACGCCAAAAATACTGAAATGAAACTCAAAATATGAGAACAAGTCGGGGCTCAAGGCGATTGATTTTGAATGATTCAGTGATAATGTTGGGCGACAGTCAACTTTGGCGAGGGTGACAACTCGATATATTTTCGACAATGATTTTAGAAAGAGCAATAGACTCGAACAAGGGGTGGACTTGACTTTGGAGACCCGATGAAAAAGAGATAGACCAAGGAGAGAGAGATTATACAGAACCACGGACTACTTACAGTTGCTGCCTCAGAAATCGACTCTCCTGGTGTAGGTTGACGATTAATTAATTTTCACTAACGCAGAGTTGAGTGATTAATTATATTTCCAGGATAATAAAGACAAAAGTAATAATAACAACAAAAGAAACAATACATATGGTAGATACAAAACGTGGCGGAGAACTTTGGCTAACGTCGCCCGACAAGAGAGTCACGTGTTTTTCATACATTCGGCACTTGTTGGATGGGGCCCGTCAGCGCGCAACTCATTTGATGAATATTTGTCGAAACGTCCTAATTGACTATGTCCTTTAGGCCAGAAGTGGCCAACGTCAGATAGGCTCGGAGCCGTAGCCAGAAAACTATTAAGGTCCCCATTATGTGGCACCGAATGTGATTAGAAGGGTTGTCGTATATTTGTATGGCAGTGGTAGCATTGGGCGATAGCGCATGCATGTGATTGAAATGCGAGGGCAAAATGGTTTGAATTTTTACGCAGGTGTTTTGACATTTTCTTTTCGATTAAAAAAATGGAATTAAAAGATGATGGTTCAGATTCAATATCCATCGGTGGAAATGAAAGTGGGATGCTCGTGAACTTGACAAAGAAATATTTTATCGTCAATTCAAGATTGAAGGACACCGATAACTTTTTGATTGTGAGAAATTTGTGCATTTGAAGTAGGCATTGAGAGCGGGAAATATAGAAATGAAAAGTTTGCAAATGAATGTCAAGTCAGGTCTATTAACCACATAGTCATATTTAATAATTGTTTTCCAAACAATATTTCCACTTCAAGAAATCCATGAAAGGTACGAAATTCCTTTTTATAAAGACGATTAAAAGCAACCAATAACCAATCAACAGCATAACCACAAAAAAAACATTTATTGAGAAAATATTTCCATTAGACATAGAAAATTTTTCTATTTTCCTTTTCCCACCGCCCAGTTTTTGTCGAATATGCTTACTAATCTTGCCTATACGCAGGGCATCATGGGCCCGAAGGTGCAGCCATAAACTTTATGGCTTGGGATGATTTTGCCTAATGGAGATTAGGAGCTGGAGTAGCTCCGAGAGTGGAGGTTGCCCACCTCTGTTTTAGGCCGTCGGCTCGTGTCAGTTCATGCCCTCTTACAAATTTAAATTCTTATTTCTAATTTTCTCAAGATTTCCGAGGCTGATGTTGGTATAACTAATAATCGTTTTACACTCTCCTCCTCTTTCCCCTTCACCTCCTTTTTCCAACCCCAACATCGGTGGCAACTGGAAAAGACTAAATATTCTTGACAACAAGTTAAACTAAGCAATCCGCAGTTCTGTTGCTCTCTGGTAACTAAACAATTGATGATTGCAAAACTGAGAGGACACTCTGTATGCTTGGTCTCGAACTAAACACTAAACGAATTATGTACTGACAACAAAATATGGCCGAGGGGATAAATGTATACATCGTGTTAACGTTAATGAGGATGGTGGTTATCGACTATTGCTTTTTGACGTTCTTGCCGGCCTTGGCTGTAGTCATAATGACGAGTTAGTCTCCGTCCTTCAGCTCAGGGCGTTCCTCCATGATCTTTTCCAGAGCTCTCTTGACAATTGGAGACAGAAGGGCTTCGATAGTGAGGGCTCGTTTTTCTTCTGACAGGGTCCGGGCAGACCGAGCTTCAGGGATGGTAAGTTTACCTTTACATAGAGCGTTCTTCCTGATAAGGAATTGACGAACTTGGTTTGGATGGTCGTTGGTTCAGTAAATTTTGCTCTGACATGTCGCTTCAATTGGCGTCGTCCATCCAGATTGGCGAGCTGGCATAATTGAGACGTAGGTAGTCGTTGAAGCCACCGAAACGAATGTTGCAGTCCGGACACTCAGGGTTGTACATATTTAGTTCCGTGGAGCAACCAAATCCGGAAGCACCGGATGTGGCAAAAGCCTGGCCCGAAGGGTCGTGTGCAATACGCGAAGTGGTGATCGCCAGACCGACAATTTATACAGCCATTGACAGGTGTTTTCCCGACATTTGTCGCAAAGGTCTGAGTCCCATGAATGACTTTGGGGGCGTCAGCTGATGGTGTTATTGCCACAGAGGTGTCAGTATTGTTCAGGGGCTTCGTTTTTTGTGACGAAATTGTTGACTTGTCGTCATCATTAACGTCGTCGTCGAAGAAGTTCTTGCTATCAGTGGACCCCGCAATGTCCACCGTACAGTTCGTCTGGCTTCTTGCTTCCTCGATCTCGAGGGTCAGTGCCTGGATTCCTGCTTCCTGTTTGAGACCCTTCCTTTCCAGCTCCTCCAACTAATTCTTCGACGTCTTGTGGTCAGATGACGAGGATTTGTCGCTCATGATAATAATGGCAATGAGAATGATTAACGACGCAAGCTATGGTGAGGAATTTTTAAGTCACTGACATAGTATTTACCAACGAGTTTTCCTGTTTTGTCCACCAATTCCACAATTAACGGGTTTATTATTCGATTTAATATACCTAGAGTCCTTTTCTAATATTGACATTGATATTGCGTTTTTGGTTGATTTTTCGAAAGGATTTGTAAGTGCTCGTCAAGATTTCCATTGACAACTACCCAATCATCCAGATATGTGAATACATGATCAGTCCATTTATTTGGCAACCCGCGTTGGTGAATTCGTTCATTTATTCGCCGCTTGAGTATGTCCATTACCCTCTGAAAGGTGGAAGGGGCTTCTGTCAAACCGTAAGGTATTTTTAATCACAGGAATAGGCCTTTACCCTCGACGACAAACGCAATGTATTTTCTACTATCTTCGTCCATGGGAATCTGAGGGAATGCTTCACTCATGTCAACAGTCGAGATGAACTTCGCCTGATGCAATTGGGATAATAATTGGGATAATAATTGATGGCATGATGCGGAGTAGGGACGCGGGCTTTTTAGTTTGACGATTTAGCGATTTGACAATTCATTACTAACGGCTATGTATTCTTTCAAGAGTAACCTCTCGACTTCATTGTCAATAAACTTGCGTATTGCTTAGCTTCTTCAATATGGCTTCTGCCTGTGAGGGGTAGAGTCGTCTAATTCAATTACGTGTTTGATAAGATCGGTTTTACCGGTCAATTCTGTGTCGAATTTAGCGAATTGTTTAGCCAGAAAGCACTTTAAATTTTGAGTTTCATTTATTGTCAGCGGTTAAAGTTGAGAAGGTATTATAGTAAACTGTGCTAGGGAATATTTATGTTGACTTTCGGTGAGGGCCCACGTACGATCAGAAGGATTGATTAGAACTTTTAAGGACAGCCAGAAGTCCATTCCCAAAATGGGATCCGTTGACAGATTTGGTTAATGGTTATGTTAAACCACTGAGGACCATATACTTCCCCTATGTGAATGATAAATCCTGTTCCGCCATGAGTTTTAACAATTGTTTTGTCGGCTATTTTGATACCCTTTCTTGATGTTGTATCAGGCGGTAATTCTCTTATTTGATACCCTTTAACGCGTTCATAAGCTTCCGGACTCAAGTAAGACCTGTCCCTACCGCTGTCAATTATTCCCTTGAATTTTTCGCCGAAAATAGATATGTCTACAGGGATGAGCGTCGCTTTCCTTGGCTCTTTACAACGACTTTCCCCACTATAAATACGCCTTTGCGTCAGTCTACCAATCATGGGAGGTGGTAATGATTGAGGTCGCCAGGGTTTTTCCCGAGATTGTCCTGAATTGAGTATTCTACATTCCGCGTTAATCTCGTTAGCCATGGTTCCGTCGTCTTTAATTGACAGTGTTAAGACTGAAGAGAATTCGTCTGGTTCATTCAACGTTTCTGTGCATAACATGTTAACATCGATGTCAGACAGTTCGCTTTCCTCATCAAGTGTGGTCACTATGTTTACATGTACGTATTTGATGTTTTTTTCAGATTTCTCCAGGTCTTTGGTTTGTCCGATGTTGTTCGGTGTATCGTGCTTACTCTTCCTATACCCTCCTTGTCGCTCTTTAATTTAGAAACCGGCGGTCGAGTTACTGAGGGCTTTTGGCGTTTCCCGCGTCTTCAACACAATTCCTAGCTTCATACCCGATCTCACGACAATTATGGCACACGACTTTACGTCTATTTTGCCATTAGCGTGAAGTGTGTCCCCTCTAACCGCAGTTTCCACAGAAGTGCTTCCAATATTTTGTTTGTTGAAATTAGTGGGGCTATTATCGTACTTCTGAAGATTTTTCTCAAGTCTCTATCTACTTAGAGGCTTGGAATTTCTCTGAAACTAACTTGGCTTTCATGTTTCTACTGCCCTCAATTCTGCATCTTGATAATTTCCCTCATCGCTTGAATGAACCCTTTCGATGTCGGGTTCGCCCTCTTCTGCTGCGGAAGGCCCTTAAATTTTATTCAACTCCAGTGTCTTTCCGTGCTTGAATCGCGATTTGTCTGCAGTGTCACATTGTTTAAACATATAACTGCGTTTGTTGACGTAATGCAAGAGTTCGGTATAATTTCTAATGTCGAGATTTAAGATCTCGAAAGCTAAACGTGGGCTCAATTTCGTCACAATTTGTCTGAGCTGGTTCTCAAAGTCTGGTGGACGTTCCATTTGTTCGAACAAAGTCGGGCGCAACTTCTTTTCGACTTTCAAATCCGTCACTTCGTGGACAAGGTCAGTCTCATCATTTGTAACGAAAGGCATTAACAGAATCTTTCTACGAATACCACGATTTCTTATTGATAAGATACCATAACTTATGCACTCCATCAAAAATCTTGGAAAGACAAGGGACGAAAAGATCTCTATTTATCCCGCTCATCGTCAATAAATCTTCCAAGAGAAGTAAGAATTGCGCGGGGTCCCTTTCAGTTGTGGGGTATGAAATTTTCCACGAATTCACGATTTTACCTATTTGAATCGGGGATGACTGAAAATCAATCGCGTTTCCCCGTTCTTGTCGACCGTAGCTACCCATATTATCATTGCGAGGCCTTGTGCGTCCACTTTTTCGCGAATAATTTTGATAATCTTTCGTAGTCGTCGTCACGGGAGTCGCTAGCTCTGCAGGAAAGAATTCTCCTACGAGGTGATAGCGTTCGATCACGGCTTAGGGAATTTCTACTGAACGAGCTTCTAGTGAAATGGCTCGGTTCGCGGCTTACGCTTCGAATTTCCTCGCTAGTTGACCTTTGGCCCTCTCGCTGATCTGAATTGTTAAATTCAGGATTTCCATGGAGATTTCTCATTTGCCTATTTTGTTCGTCAGTCACAAAAAACTCCTCTGTTTGGAACTGATTGTTGGGCATTAGGGTCGCTATTAAAACTTTAAGCAACAGAGGAAGTTCACCTACCTGATTGAAATTTAACTCCGCATTTACGTTCTCAATATAACGATGTGTTAGAGTGACGTTATGTTAGAGGTTTTTTGTGTCGTTGCCGGAGGTACAGGTAGAGTTGTCAATACTCCGCGGCCTCTACCTCTAGTTATTGACTACGTGCTTTCACCGGAATCCTTACTCGTGTTGATTGCTGCTAGGACATAGTTCTCGTCAACATTGTTATCGTTTTCTATTGGAACCGTGGGGGTTCCTCATTCTGCCCCAGCTGGGCTTCGCGGCGTCATTATGAAATTTCAAAGAATCCCTCGCGCGTATAAGACCCCGGATTACTCAAAGGCTTCAATAGAGGTATTCCCTTATGTTCTCAAGAACAGAACACTTGGAGAGAAATCATGGTAATAATATCTATTTTATTCTCTAATCGTTCAAAACCGTTCGTACCGGTGTTAATCGTTGATTGCCCGTTTCTGACAACACAATCGGGAATCAGTACAGTATTGGAGCGAGACCCATTCACTGACGAAGTAATAAATAAATAAATAATCACAATCACAAGATCACGACGAAACGAGCTTCAATCAAGACTCTAGGATTACTATAAGTTATTTTCTGGTCAACGACGAAGCGACATTCAATCGTATTTCCCCTGAGTATTTACGGTTCATGGTTCGTTCAAAATCCGGTTTGACAATTCCCATAATACCCACAATCGACGCGCAGTCGCAAGTTAATTAAATTCATTGTTCGGCGCTATAGCCATAAAATATCATTCGGCGCTAAAGCCGCAAAGGTTTGACTTTCGTGTAGGCGAGTTCTCCATTAAAGTTTGTCAACAGGTCGTAGCGAGATATGATTCGTGTTGATTATTCTGTTTTCATTGACCGAATAGTTTTTTTTTTATTAGTTTTTATCAACAGGATGATTTACTTCCGTGTCGATATTTCTAGGAATCGATAATGTTACATCTGAATTTCGAAAATTATTCATTTTCATTATGCTGTGCCGAAAAGGAACTTTTCAACCACGCTCCATTTCGCTTAGTGTGCCTAAAAAGTGACTTTCCCGTACATTGTGAAGAAAAATATTGTTCGCAACCACTCACTTAGCTCGTGCTATAAACCTCCCACACGCCAAGAATCACATTCCCCCACTTGTTACGAAATATACTATTTCGATACAATAGATTTGTGACAGATTTATTTCTTTTAATAGTCAATAATAGTTTTTGTGTTTTATTCGTCTTTCCTGATGCACACAGAAATTTTTACCATTTTCAACACAGTTGCTTTCACATTCTTCTCACGGAAAAGGCACGTGTGTTGGTGTCTTGTGTTGCCGAAAAATGCAGCCAACACCGCGTCAGTTTGGAAAATAATTAGCGTGGAAAAATAATATTATTTATTTTCAGCCATCGGAGCATCCAATAATCCTTGTTCCGATACTTACGCCGGTAGCAAAGCATTCTCCGAAGTCGAGACCTGTGCATTAAGGAATTTCATGCTAGCGAATAAGGATACAATTAAAGTATACTTAACTCTTCACTCTTACGGACAGGTAAGCAAACTATAAATCAATTCAAAGTACTGATGAATGGTGAATGAATCCTCCATGCCGACTGAGATATTCAATTCACCATTTTCTTTTGTTTTCAGTACCTGTTGCATCCATGGGGCTGGACTTCAGATTTACCCACCAATGAACCTCTTCTCGTAAGTTGAATATGAATAATTACTAATTTCAATAAGAAACAGAATAATGACAATTCACGTGTGAAGTGCTCTTTTGTATCTTCACTCAGAAATGAAAGCATGAGAGTTTTCTCGTAATGGACTGGACTTTTTTTTCTAGCGTGAAGTTGGCGTGAAAGCCGCGGCGGCTGTCTATAAGGAATATGGAACTGAATATGTTGTTGGAAGTTCTACCAATGTCTTATGTAAGCAATAAATACAATTTCCAGCGTTATTTTATTGGTTCGACCGAAATAGTAATTGTCAGGCCTATTCGTGGACTATAGATTCCCGCATGCAAGATGGACAAGCAAGCATGTGGGAAAGGGTGATATATTTTCCACGACGTGGCTATAAAGATATAATGGCGGCATGACAATACATACTCCAGGAAACAGAAAGAATGACGAATCCCATGGAAATTGTTGAACACATTATTCGATTCATATGAATGCTAAAATTTCGAAACCGCTACGGGAATAATAACAATGTGAATAATTTATGAAGTTCCTAATTATACACGCGGTGAGATGGAGCATCTGTAATTTTCATCAATTTCCTACTTGTGCTTTTTCCAACTTGACAAATTATTCGCATTGTGATTATTCCCGTAGCGGTCTTGAAATTTCGCACACAGCTTTCATATGAATCAAATAGTGCGTTCAAGAATTTTCATTGCATTCTCTACTTTTTATTGAGTTGTCTCTCACCATAATATCCTTAACGAACTTTTTTTAGACTGGGACTCAGTCTGAAAAGATTTTGTTAACGATATTATAGCGTCCAGAAAATGGGGTTTTCAGGCCTCAGTGTGGGAAAAGAAAATGTTTACATGGATAATATGACTGAAAGAAATTTTCACCTGTAAGAGATTATAAGGGAAGCTAGGTAATACGGACACGTTTTTGTCTCTTTTTTATCCCTTCAGATACGATGATTCAACTCAGCAATGACGTGATAATAGAAGATGACCCAGGCTCATAACTCAGTTTTTAACGAATACCCCTAAATTTAGGAGAGATAATGATTTTCCATTCCATTGCTGAATTGAACTTGAGAATGCGTTTTTCATAAATATCTCGGAATCATGGGGATTTCAGCAAATTTACACAATTCGAGAAAAAAAAGAGACCTCCATTTTGCTCCTTTTTTCACTATCCCCAGTCTTTCTGACCGCTGTCTCATGCAAAAGGTAATGCATTTCTAACTGCCAAAATGAAATTGTGGTATGTGTACATGTGTTTTCAATGCCTGACATTATTTACAAACGATGCTCATACTACTTCACCCTCCCTTACACTAACAGATCACTCGATGGCAATTCATTATTCACCAAATCGTTCATTCAGTTGATGGCTAGGCGACTGTGGGTCCGTGATCCATGTTAAGGCTATGATCGATGATTGCTCGAAAGAAACTACTCATCGATCAATGATCAGCTAATATTCGACCAAGAGAAAAATGACATTGCTCATTCAAATGATCTATTCACTCGATACGAACTTGATCCATTCATCGACTTATTTAATCGGTTGATGGCAACTCGATCGTTAGTCTATCCTTGATCGAGCGTCAGTAGACAATCGTTGGTTGATTGAACGAAATGGTTCGCCCAATGAACAGTCAATACTCGATCAAGTGAATGACTCGATCTCCCAATCGAGTCATCTGTCAGGGTGAGCAGTATTTCTCATTCGAATTCTAAAGGACTATTATCCAGATTTGATTTTTAGCCAGTACTATATTATACTATTTGTAACCCATTTCAATCGTGTTTTCACTAAGATTTCAGCTAATTGACAAAAATGTATTTTTCAACAGATGCTGCCGCCGGCGGTAGTGACGATTGGGCTTTAGCCGTTGCCGGCGTAGACTTAGCATACACCATCGAATTACCTGGTGGAAGATTCGATCCTCCGGCGAGTCGTATTGTTCCAGTTGGCATCGAAACATTCCAAGCATTCAAGGTTTTCCAGCAATATATTGCAGAAAAATACATTTCTAGAAATTCGATTTAGTTTACATTTATATTTTTGTATTTTTCCCCGAACATAATTTTCTTAAATCAATATAATATCAAATAACAGTTACTCATTACATTATTTTGTTTATTCATCTCTCTATTTATCATGATTTTCTAATGTGTATATTTACTATGATTTCCATACTACCTTTAATGTTTTTGTCCAAGAAAGATATTGTAGATCAGAGGTGGGCAACGTCAGGTAGGCTCGGAGCTGTAACCGTAAAATGATTAAAGTTCAAATTATAAAAGATCCAACCTGACTACAAGGGTTGTCGTATATTTGTCTGGTGGGGGCAGCCCCCTGACACTCCGTTCACAGCGCGTCGCACTACCGTTACTGCCGTAATTGGCAGAGGCGTCACCTGCACATACCACCACCATGCTTACCAGCGCATCATTTGAATCTCTAAAAACATGAAATTGGAAATTTGAATACAAAATGATGGACACTCAATTATGAACGGAAAATATTTATTGGAGTAAATGTAATGTAACATTTAGAAATTTTATATATTTAATTCCATTAGCTCTTCGATGGATGGACGTTCGAATGTTAGCAAATTTCGATTGCTTTCTTTTCTTTTGAGCAATTTTCTTCTGTTCAAAATTTGAAAGTGTACAAAATTCTTGCATGCGAGTGCACTTCTCTTCACGTTTTTTTGACGGTTTTGATGATGATCTGGATTTGCAACCGATTACCACACATCCCGACATCTTCTCTTATTCGCAAACTACAAAAATTTTGTATTGCCCGCTTTTGGTTAGGGCCAGAGGGAACATGTGCAGGTGGTCGACGTGCCATCTAGTGAGGTAACGCTAGCTGAGGCACCAATATCATTGGAGAAATACGTTAAGTGATAGGGGGCTAGGTGGGAGTAACATCGGGAAATTGCGCATACGCGGGATTGAAATACAAGGGCAAAATGGTGTGAATCTTTATGCACGTATTTGGATATTTTCCTTACGATTACAAAAAATGGAATTAAAAAATGATTTTCAATGATTCAACATTCATTGGTGGAAATAAAAGTGCGATGGTTGTGCACTAGAGGCAGGAAAAATTCATCGTTAATTAAATATTAAAGGACGCTGACAATGTTTTTGATCGTGAGAAGTTAGTGCATTCTAATTTGACATCGAGAGCGGGAAATATAGAAATGAAAAGTTTGAAAATGAACATCACGTCAGGTCTATTAACAACATGATAATATTTAATTATTGGTTTCCAAACAATATTTTCTCTTTAAGAAATTTATGAATTTGTTTCCTTATAAAGTCGATTAAAAACTGTAACGCGATTTTCGTGTTAATAATAATGGAAAATATTTACTGAGATCAATCACGCTCTCTGCCGTATCGATTGGGTCGGCTAATTCCCTACGCGTGGGGAGTTGAGGTTATAGTACTGAACATCAGCTCCCAATGCGACTCCTCTGTCGGAACACTTGGTTCTCCACTCCAGAGAACTGTTCCACGTTAGATGAGGCGGGCATTCAAAAGGCCAGGGGTCCAGATAAGGGGCTAACTGGACAGCCTGGTTGGGGACGTTTGAATTCGGCGCGCTCCGGGAAACGATACCGGCGGGGATATCCTCGCGGTGGTAATAAGAACCACGGACGATCCCCTACGCACTCCAGCCGCGTGAGTCGGGAGCGGGGAGCAGAGCTACTAGGGAGCACTCTCCACTTCACACGGGAGAGCTTCTCTAGCACTCTCACGGGCCACTCGGCCCCGGGCTCTGACAGCCCGCAGCTCTCGGTGATTAGCGTGGCTATATAGCCCGCCATATCGCTTTACCTATCGCTATCTCTCTTACGGCCATGAGGCTGAGCTAACGGACTATAGTAGGAGGTATACCTATACCTAGAGCTCTCGCTATGCTAGCGCATATTGGCAGCTATCGGCGTTCTACCGGTGTCTAATTATCGATCGCTCTCGCCTCTATCGACCTTATCTGCTATCGATCACCCTACCTTACCAACCTTCCAACGCTATCGGGGACCGACCACACTAAAAGAACTCCGACCCTCTCCCCATAACCTAGCATACTGAGCGACCCAGTGCTCCCGCACGCGTTCTAATTTTAGATCCGCTACTTTCGTATTTCGCGGGAAGTCTCCAGAGGTCCTCAATGCGCCCTGAGAAAGGGACAGTGACGATCTCTGGTCACGCACCTAATTTTGATTCATAGGTCTTTCCTTATTGTGTCCTTCACAACTAGGCGGAAACTTATCGGTCTTTCCTAATTGTGTCCTTAACAACTAGGCGGAACTTATTGTCTGTCCTGTCGCGAGTACGGACAGTCCCAAGGACTGCAGTGATACCCTCAAATTGTAGAATAGCTTGGCTTATATGGGTAATCAATGTAGGCACAGGTAGTCGCATGAACCATTCCAGAGGTATCAGAACATTTTCCAAAAGGCGTCGATACAATGTGCTCATGTCTCCTGCTGCTGCAGCAGCCTCAAATGATGGATAATACTCGTCCCGCATCTCAAATTGAATATCACCGG